CTTCCTGATGAATTGATCCCTTTACCATTATGTAATGGCCTTCTTTGTCTCTTTTGATCTTTGATGGTTTAAAGTCTGTTTTATCAGAGACTGGTATTGCAACCCCCACTTTTTTTGTTTTCCATTTGCTTGGTAGCGCTTCCTCCATCCCTTTATTTTGAGCCTATATGTGTCTCTGCACATGAGATGGGTCTCCTGAATACAGCAAACTGATGGGTCTTGACTCTTTATCCAATTTGCCAGTCTGTGTCTTTTGATGGGACCATTTAGTCCATTTACATTTAAGGTTAATATTGTTATGTGTGAACGTGATCCTGTCATTATGATATTAGCTGGTTATTTTGCTCACTAGTTGATGCAGTTTCTTCCTAGCATCGATGGACTTTACATTTTGACATGTTTTTGCAGTGGCTGGTACCTGTTGTTCCTTTCCATGTTTAGTCCTTCCTTCAGGATCTCTTGTAGGGCAGGCCTGGTGGTGACAAAATCTGTAAGCATTTGCTTGTCTGTAAAGGATTTTATTTCTCCTTCACTTATGAAACTTAGTTTGGCTGGATATGAAAGTCTGGGTTGAAAATTCTTTTCTTTAAGAATGTTGAATATTTGCCCCACTGTCTTCTGGCTTGTAGAGTTTCTGCCGAGAGATCTGCTGTTAGTCGGATGGGCTTCCCTTTGTGTGTAACCCGACCTTTCTCTCTGGTTGCCCTTAACATTTTTTCCTTTCTTTCAACTTTGATGAATCTGACAATTATGTGTCTTGGAGTTGCTCTTTTTGAGGAGTATCTTTGTGGCATTCTCTGTATTTCCTGAATTTGAATGTTGGCCTGCCTTACTAAGTTGGGGAAGTTCTCCTGGATGATATCCTACAGAGTGTTTTCCAACTTGGTTCAATTTTCCGTCACTTTCACACACACCAATCAGACGTAGATTTGGTCTTTTCACATAATCCCATACTTCTTGGGGGCTTTGTTCATTTCTTTCTACTCTTTTTTCTCCAAACTCCTCTTCTCTCTTCATTTCATTCATTTGATCTTCAATTACTGATACTCTTTCTTCCAGTTGATGGAGTCGTTTACTGAAGCTTGTGCATTTTTCATGTATTTCTTGTGTTATGGTTTTCATCTCTATTAGTTCTTTTAAGGTCTTCTCTTCATTGATTATTCTAGTTATCCATTCATCATTCTTTTTTCAAGGTTTTTAGTTTCTTCGCACTGGTTACATAGTTCCTCTTTTATTTCTGAGAAGTTTGATTGACTGACACCTTCTTCTCTCAATTCGTCAAAGTCATTTTCCGTCCAGCTTTGTTCCATTGCTGGTGAGGAGCTGCGTTCCTTTGGAGGGGGAGATGCGCTCTTATTTTTTGAATTTCCAGCTTTTCTGCCCTACTTTTCCCCCAACTTTGTGGTTTTATCTGCCTTTGGTCTTTGATGATTGTGATGTACTGATGGGGTTTTGGTGTGGGTGTCCTTTCTGTTTGTTAGTTTTCCTTCTAACAGTCAGGACCCTCAGCTGTAGGTCTGTTGGAGTTTGCTTGAGGTCCACTCCAGACCCTGTTAGCCTGGGTGTCAGCAGCAGAGGCTGCAGAAGATAGAATATTGCTGCACAGCGAGTGTTGCTGTCTGATTCTTGCTATGAAAGCTTCATCTCAGGGGTGTACCCCACCATGTTAGGTGTGAGGTGTCAGTCTGTACCTAGTGGGGGATGTCTCCCAGTTAGGCTACTCAGGGGTCAGGGACCCACTTGAGCAGACAGTCTGTCCGTTCTGAGATCTCAACCTCCATGCTGGGAGATCCACTGCTCTCTTCAATGCTATCAAAAAGGGGCATTTACCTCTGCTGAGGTTTCTGCTGCTTTTTGTTTAACTATGCCCTGTCCCCACAGGAGGAGTCTACAGAGGCAGGCCGGCCTCCTTGAGCTGCAGTGGGCTCCACCCAATTTGAGCTTCCAGGTGGCTTTGTTTACCCACTTAAGCCTCCGCAATGGTTGGCGCCCCTCCCCCAGCCTCGTTGCCACCTTGCAGTTAGATCTCAGACTGTGGTGCTAGCAATGAGGGAGGCTCCGTGGGCATGGGACCCTCTGGGCCAGGTGTGGGATATAATCTCCTGGTGTGCCCTTTGCTAAGACCCTTGGTAAAGTGCAGTATTAGGGTGGGAGTTACCTGATTTTCCAGGTGTTGTGTGTCTCAGTTTCCTTTGGGTAGGAAAAGGGATTCCCTTCCCCCTTGAGGTTCCCAGGTGCGTCGATGCCATGCCCTGCTTCAGCTCTCGCTGGTCAGGCTGCACCAGCTGACCAACACTGATTGTCTGGCACTCCCCAGTGAGATGAACCTGGTACCTCAGTTGAAAATGCAGAAATCACCCGTCTTTTGTGTCACTCATGCTGGGAGCTGGAGGCTGGAGCTGTTCCTATTCGGCCATCTTGGGCCCACCCCCCAAGTTTTGGTTCTTAGATTTAAGTCTTGAATACATTTTGATTTTATTTTTGTACACAGTGAAAGATAATGGGCAAGTTTTATTCTTCTGCATATAGTTACTGAATTTTCAGCACCATCTATTGAAGAGACTGTTCTTTCTCTGTTGTGCATTCTTGGTGCCTTTGTTGAAAATGAATTGGTGTAAATGCGTGTATTTGTATCTGGGTTCTTTATTCTGTTCCATTGGTCTAGGCATTTGATTTTATGCCAATACCACGGTTATTTGGTTACTATAGCGCTGTAGTATAACTTGAAGTCAGATAATGTTATGCATTTGGCTTTGTTCTTTTTGCTCAGAATTGCTGACCACATGTTAAGTCACGAGACAAGTCTTAACAAATTTAAGAGGACTAACATCACTCCAAGTATATTTTCTGACCACATTAGATTGAAGCTAGAAGTTAATATTAAAAGAAAGTGGAAAAACTTAAAAAATACATGAAAATTAATAATAACACACAATTGAACAACCATTGGGCTAAACAACAAATCAAAAGGGAAATTAGAAAATATCTCAAGACAAAGAAGAAATGAAAAAAAAAAAGGGATATGGCAAAAACAGTATTAAAGGGAAATTTATAGTGATAAATTCTTACATTAAAAAAGAATAAAGATTTCAAATAAACATTCTAACTTTACACCTCAAGAAACTAGAAAAAAATTGAACAAACAAACCCCAAGTTTGCAGTAGGAAGTTATGAAGATTAGAGCACAAACATGATAGAGAATAGAAAAATAATAGATAACAAGGAAATTAAGAGTTGAGTTTTTGAAAAGATAAAAAAAAAATGGACAGACTCTTAGGTAAAATAGCAAGAAAAAAAGAAAAGACTCAAAATCAGAAATGAAGGAGCAGATATTACAACTGATGTCACAGAAATTTTTTAAGAAGATACTGTGGCTTATATTTATACACCAACACATTGGATAATCTAGAAGAAGTTGATAAATTCCTAGATGATATAACCTGCCAAGATTTAATCAAGAATAAATAGCCTGAAGAGAACAACAACAAATAAAGAGATTAAATCAGTAAACAAAACTTTCTAGCAAAGAAAATCTCAGGACCAGGGGGCTTCACAAATGAATTCTGTTAAACATTTACAGAAGAATTAAACAAGAAAATAAAATTGTAGGCTAATATATCTACAAACATGCATGCAAAAATTTACAGCAAGACATTAACAAACTATATTAGCTGCACATTAAAAGAATCATACACAATGACCAAACGGGATTTATTCCTGGGATGCAAAGATGGTTCAGAATACACAGATCAATTAATGTAGTATGCTAATTGAATCCTAACTCAATATGTTAGGATTAGCAGAAAGCCTATATGTAAAAACTCCACAGCTAAAATTATACTCCATGGTGAAATAATGAAAGCCTTTATTTTAAGATCTATAACAATGCAAGGATACTCACTCTGTGCACTTCTATTCAACATAGTATTGGAATTCCTAGATGAAGCAATGAGGCAAAGAAAAGAAATAAAGGGCATCCAAATGGGAAAGTAGAAATGAAGTAGCCTCTAGAGTCTTTCTTTATTGCTATTTTACCTAAGAGTTTGTCCATTTTTTATCTTTTCTATATATTTATATATTAATATGCCCTGATTATATACATAGTAAACCATAAAGGTTCCATAAAATTAGTAGAAGAAATAATGAATTCAGTAAAGTTGCAGGACACAAAACCAACACTCAAAAATCAGTTACATTTTTATACATCAAAAACAGACGGTCAGGAAAGGTGATTAGTTAAACAATCCCATTTACAACAGCATCAAAAAGAATAAAATATTTAGGTTTATAACAAACCAAGGAGGTGAAAGATTTGTACACTGAAGACTATAAAACATGAAAAAAATTAAAGGAGACACAAAAAATTGAAAGATATTCCATTGATTGAAGAAATTAATATTGTTAAACTATTCCTAACACTCAAAATTATCTATAGATTCACTGCAATCCTTATCAGAATCTCCATGTTATTTTTCAAAGAAATAGAAAATAAAGAACTTATATAAGACTAAAAAAGTCCAGATAATTAGAAGCAATTTTTAAAAAGAAGAACAAAGCTTTTCAAAATATAGTACAAAGGTACAGTAACCAGAATAGTATGTTACTATCATAAAATAGAGACATATAAAGCAATGGATGAAAATAGCTCAAAGATAGACTCATATATGCTGGCTCCAGCATGTCACTGGAGGGGCCATATTTGCATTAGAATTTAAGTATGCATTTTTGAAATTAATTGCATGGTAAATTTGTAGGTAAACATTTTAAGATGTCAAATTTTCTTGATGCAAATATTGAGAGCCTCACTTTATAGTTTTTTTTTTTTCTTTGTGTGTGTGTGTGTCTGTGTTTTAGTCTAAGAAACCAAACATTTGATATGTGAGACTGTCGCTCTAAATAAACAAAATTACACTAGATTATGGTACAAAAGTAAGCTTGATGATCACCTTCTATGAGAAAATATTTTAAAACAATCATTTAATTTTTCAAAATGATCCTAGGTGTGTGATTCCAGACAAAAGTGCATTTGTTCACCAGGCTATAATCCTCCAAGCTGCCAAACACGTTCCAAAGGTTTTCCCATATTTCCTAAGGAAGACATGGGCAAGTATCTGTCTCTTCAAATATCCGTTTAATAAAAGTATCAAATTGCTTATGATCACTAAAACAGAGTTCGATTTTGCCACTTATGAAGCAACTGATATTTGTAATGAAAAAGTAATCTGAATTCTCTCAAGAAATGGAAACCAAACATGCCATCTTAATCTTGCTCTCTTTTCTTTATAATTAACTAATTAATCAATTAATTTTTATTTTTTAATTTCAATAGGTTTTTGGGGAACAGGTGAATTTTGGTAACATGGATAAGTTCTTTAGTGGTGATTTCTGATATTTTGGTGCAGCCATCACTCGAGCAGTGTATATTGTATGCAATGTGTAGTCTTTTATACCTCACCTACTCCCATCCTTCGCCTCAATACCCCAAAGTCCATTGTATCATTCTTATGCCTTTGTGTCCTCAAAGCTTAGTTCCCACTTACGAGTGAGAACATATGATATTTGGTTTTATATTCTCTAAGTGAAGAGTTACTTCACTTAGAATAATGGTCTCAAACTCTATCCAGGTTGCTGCGAATGCTATTATTTTGTTCTTCTAATGGCTGAGTAGTATTCCATGGTGTATATATATATATATATCACACTTTCTTTTTTTCTTTTTATTTTTTATTATACTTTAAGTTCTAGGGTACATGTGCACAACATACAGGTTTGTTACATATGTATACATGTGCCATATTGGTGTGCTGAACCCATTAACTTGTCATTTACATTAGGTGTATCTCCTAATGCTATCCTTCCCCCTTCCTCCAATCCCACAACAGACTCCGGTGTGTGATGTTCACCACCCTGTGTCCAAGTCTTCTCATTGTTCAATTCCCACCAATGAGTGAGAACATGTGGTGTTTGATTTTTTGTCCTTCTGATAGTTTGCTGAGAATGATGGTTTCCAGCTTCATCCATGTTCCTACAAAGGACATGAACTCATCATTTTTCATGGCTGTATAGTATTGCAGGATATCACACTTTCTTTATCCACTCATTGATTGATGGGCATTTGGGCTGGTTCCACATTTTTGCTATTGCAAATTGTGCTGCTATAAACATTTGTGTGAGTGTCTTTTTATGTAATGACTTCTATATAATGACTTCCTCTGGGTAGATTTCCAACAGTGGGATTGCTGGATCAAATGGTAGATCTACTTTTGGTTCTTCAAGAAATTGCCATACTGTTTTTCATAGTGGTTGTACTAGTTTGCATTCCCACCAACAGCATCAAAGCACTCCCCTTTAAGAATATCCATGCCAACATCTATTATTTTTTGATTTTTAAATTATGACCATTCTTGCAGGAGTAAGGTGGTATTGCATTGTGGTTTTGATTTGCATTTCCCTGATCATTAGTGATGTTGAGCATTATTTCATGTTTGTTGGCCGTTTGCATATCTTCTTTTGAGAGTTGTCTATTCATGTCCTTAGTCCATTTTTTGATGGAATTGCTTTTCTTTCTTGCTGATTTGTTTGAGTTCCTTATAGATTGTGGATATTAGTTATTTGTCAGATGCATAGTTTGTAAAGATTTTCTCCCACTCTGTGGGTTGTCTGTTTACTCTGATGATTATATCTTTTGCTTTGCAGAAGCTTTTAAATGTAATGAAGTCCCTTCTATTTATCTTTGTTTTTGTTGCATTTGCTTTTGGGTTCTTGCTTATGAACGCTTTGCCTAAGCCAATGTCTAGAATAGTTTTCTCATGTCATATTCTAGAATTTTTATGGTTGCAGGTTTTTTTTTTGTTTTGTTTTGTTTTGTTTTTTTTTTTTGAGACGGAGTCTCGCTCTGTCGCCCAGGCTGGAGTGCAGTGGTGCAATCTCGGCTCACTGCAAGCTCCGCCTCTCAGGTTTAAATTTAAGTCTTTGATCCCCTTGAGTTGATATTTGTATAAGATGAGAGATGAGGATTCAGTTTAATTCTTCTACATATGGCTTGCCAGTTATCCCAGTGCCATTTGTTGAATCGGGTGTCCTTTCCCCATTTTATGTTTTTGTTTGCTTTGTTGAAGATCAGTTGGCTGTACATACTTGGCTTTATTTCTGGATTCCCTATTCCATTCCTTTGGTCCCTGTGTCTATTTTTATGTCAGTACCATGCTGTTTTGGTGACTATAGCCTTATTGTCTATGGCCATACCAGCCTGAAGGTGCCCGATCTTGTCTTGCTCTTTTTTCTAACATTAAAATATCATACTTGAAGTTGAATACTTTTTAAAATTTCTCTTTACTGATATCATTGACTCTGTCTTTTAGAATATTTTCAACCTCTCTTCCTCAGCTTTATGACTGATCCTGTGACCTCAGCTCTAAACAAACATTTGCTCTGTGTCTAGTACTGTTAGTGTGTTTCTGTTATAGAAGAAATGAAATAGAAGACAAGATTTTGCTCTGAAAGAGTTTATCATTTAAATCAGAAAAATCCATCAGTTTCTGCTTAGGAGATGACAGAAGTGATGCTGGCATATTATTCTGTTTGTGCACCACAGCTTCCATTTCTGTCATTCATTCATTTATTGAGTTAGCAAATGTTCATTGAACTCTTAATATATGCCAGGTCCAGGTGCTGGTCTACACACTGGGGATGTACAGTGATAGCAAAGGACAGAATTAGGATTAGGAATCAATTCTTCTGATTTTTATGCCAGTGCCCTTTTAGTAGCATTGCGACGACCCCATTTATAAACATGATCCCCAAGGCCAAAAGCCAACAATCTACCAAAGAAAAATAGGATATACACAAATACACTGAATTCCTTTGATAATGCACCTTGTAAGAGTGCATTTTTGGATAACCATGCAATTACACAATCCCACATTGTATATCACTGAATTTTTTTGTCCCTACTTAGAGGGTTAAAATGAGAGTTTGCTGTAGCTGCTGTGAGACTTGAATACTTTTGAACTTTCCAAAACTTGGTTACCATGCTTTTAGAATGAAAGGTTGTAGAGATAGCCCCAAAGATTATGATTACAATTCTGTGATGATATTTTCCATGTTCCTTGAATAACAATACAAATTCAGAACATTTTAATGAATGTGTTACAACTTGAAAATAAAAGTAGATAGTTTAATTTTTAATTTTTTTTTTTTTTTGTATTTCTGTTTTTAGATTCTATCATGAAAAGAGCATTTGGGAAGACTGAAAACACCTGGCTTCTAGGTTTCTCCGTTGTTCTTCCTATTCTCATTGTAACAACCATAGTAGTTTTGGCAAGGAAGCATTTGAAAAAGTGGTTCATCAAGGAAGAGGAATTCCCAAGTAGCGAGTAAATTCCATTTGGTGTTCTGAAGTTAAACATTAGTACCATTTGAATCTAGTTATATGTAAGACAATATCATGAGCAGCAACAATACTTTACATATCACTGGGATTTTGAGTATTACATCAATATGTCATTTAATTTTATGAGGTAGTTGTGAATACCCCTGTTTTGAAGACACAAAGATTTGGAAGTGTAGTTTACATAGCTTGCCAAAGTCATTGAACTGTCAGTTGAGAGAGGAAGAACTCAAATATATAATATCTGTTCTTTTCTTATCGAAGGGGGATGATCTGTATCATCTACAACAGAAGTATTTATTAAAAATGCAGATTTCTGGGCCTTACTATAGACTAAATATTTTAATTCACATTGCTGGCTCATAAAAGAAATAATTTTAAAAATATTCTTTGGGTTAAATTTTCAGAAGGGAAATTTATAATTTAGATTATTACATTTTTATTTTTCAAGAAATAATTCAAACACTAAGAGAATAACATGACAAACATCCTCTTGCCACCATGGGAAATAAACAGATGTTAATATTTTTCTTGTTTCTCTTATAAAAGAAGCCGTTGTATTTGCAGCCGCAATTTCTTCTGGTATGATCCCCTTGCCTCCTGGTAGAGGATGTCTACACTGAATGTTTGTGTATTTTACATGTTTTTAATACATATGGCATTATCCATATCCCATAAGCTACCTAGTATTGTTTTATGTATAATTTTAAATAGCTATACTTTCTCTGCAGATGCATTTCCTTATCAATTTTGGTTTGTTTGTTTTGTCTTTTTTTTTTTTTCTTTTTCATGAGCAGTCCGCTCAGAGTTATTTTTATTTTATTAGTAATTTGAAATATGTAACTTTCAGTTTCATTGAGGTCTCTATTTCTATTGTTTTTTATATCAAGTTTTGCTCTTTTTCCTCCTTTCTGGTCTTTTTACCTTTGCTCTGTTGTAACTCTAGATTTCTTGATTTTAATGCTTTCTTTATTAATTTTTAGCCTTTCTTATTTTCTAAAATAAGAAATACTTTAATAGCAAAAATCTTCTCCTTGTATCTGTCATTTTCTTTATACTCTCCGGTTTTTAAATGATAGTCGACATTCAGTTAAAAAATTTGAAAAATCTAGCAGGATTTCTTGTTTAAATAATGAATCAATTGTGGTCTTTAGTTTTCAATTATGTGATTTATTTTCATTGTTTTAAAAATAATTTTCTAATTTTATTAGCTTATTTTGAGAAACTTGTCTGTGCGATTTAGACTCTTCAATGTTGGAACAAAAAATGAAGTAAATTTTTAGAAATGTGTAAGCTTGATATGCGTCCTCCAATGTTTTTAGGACAAACTTTTAAATTGTGATGTTTCAAACCATTTTTATACATACTGTTTTTTTTTTTCTTTCCTGTCTGTTTGATACTTTGTCTTCTGTGAGAGGCAAACTAAAATTTTCAGTGGATTGTAGCTTTCCCTCTGATTGTTGAAACTTTCGCTTTAGATATTCCGAGGCAGTGACTAAATGCATAATGTTTATTTTAGTTAAATTTTCTTTTCCTTTAATCATTATTTATCGTATGTTAAATACAATTTTCACTGTTTTAGATTGCTATGTCAACTTTCTCTTTAAAAATGACGTTTACTTGGTACATCTTTTTTTGTTTTTTTTCTCAATCTGTCTTTGCATTTAGCTGGTATAAACAGTCTTTATATGAAATGCACTAGTGGAGTTTGTTATGCTCATATGCTTAATCCGTGATGACATATGTTTAGGCTGAAATTTGCCGTCCTATTTTTTTTCCTGTTTACCATGCTTTTTTGGTATTTTTTTCTTCTTTTTCTATAATCTATTTTCTTTGTTTCACTTTTCTTTCTTTCTTTTTTTTTTTTCTTGAGATGAAACTTCGCTCTTGTTACCCAGGCTGGAGTGCAGAGGTGCGATCTCAGCTCACTGCAACCTTAGCTCCCCAGGTTCAAGTGATTCTCCTGCCCCAGCCTCCCAAGAAGCTGGTATTACAGGCATACACCACCACGCCTGGCTAATTTTTTGTATTTTTAGTAGAGACAGGGTTTCTTCATGTCGACCAGGCTGTTCTCGAATCATTTCATTTTTCTGTTCTCTTTCTTTTCCTTAACTATTTGGACATTTTTGTATTCTGTTTTTGTTTTAGTGATTTTCTTTAAATTTTAGTATTTGTAGTTAATGTTATATAATGTCTAAATTTAATCATTACATATAGTCTTCTTGGAAATAACCCAAGGACTTCAGTCACTTAACTCCTTCCATTTTCAATGCTTGTTATTTGACTTTCAAATTTCTCCCAATAAGTCAGTGTTATTTTTGTTATTATCATCTTTATGTTTAGTCAGTGAATACTAGGATTTTCCAGTGGATTTCCCAGTCTTACTCACCATTTCTTTTCTAAAATTGTTTTGTTTTGAAATAATTTATGGACAAAAAGTTGCGAAAATTGTGTAAGGCTCTCATGTACTCTTTGCCTAGCTTTTTCCAATCATAACGTCTTACATGAACACTGCATTTCCACAGCCAGTATAATGGTATTGGTACAATACTTTTAATACAACTAAAGATCTTATTCAGATTTGCTAGTGTTTGTATGCATTCACTTATGTGTGTGTATACTATTAGCACATTTTATCATGTGATTTGTTTACCAACACCACAATCATAATTCCTTTTGGAATCCTACTTTTTCATTCTAGGTTCAATTATCTTTTTTCCCTTAGATTTATTGTGGTATGATTGACAAACAAAAATTGATGATTTGCCTGATATATGTATATGCTATAAAATGATTATCACAATTACTATAATTAACACATCTATCACCTCATATAATTACTTCTTTTTATGTGTGTAGTGAGAACACTTAAGATCTACTCCCTTAGCAAATGTCAAGCTTTTTAGATATAAGGTCATATCATCTGAAAACAGAGACAACTTCTTCCTTTTCAATTTGGATGTCCTTTTTTTCTTATTTCTTGCCTAATTCCTGTGGCTAGGGCTTCTAGTACTACACTGAATAGAAATGGCGAGAGGGGCTTCTTGTTTTATTCTTGATCTTAGATCAAAACTTTTATTGATAGCTTTTCCCTGTTAAGTTTAATGTAGCTGTGGGCTTGTAATACAGGTCTTTTGTTATGTTGAGGTGTATTTCTTCTATGATGAACTGTTGCGAGTTTTAATTAAATATGTTGAATTTTGTTTCCTGTAACTATCGAGTGTATTTTCAGCCATCCTTGCATCACAAATATATATCCCACTTGATCATGGTATATGATCCTTATAATGTTCTAATGTGTCTTTGTTCTCTGTCCCCTTAAGGTTAAACCTCTGCTGCACTGGAGAGGCCAAAGTATTCCCAGTCTGCTGGCAACAACCCTCCAATGGGGACTGCCAGCAAAAGCACTGGGGTGGGCCAGTGGTGGGTCCATGTATATGTGCATGCAGGCAGGGTAGGTGGGGGTTCCCCCATTTGTGCATGCTGGCAGGGTGGTGAGGGTTCTGTGTGCCCACGTGCACTGGTAAGGAGGTAGAGAGAGGCTGTGCTGGTGGCGAAAGGCTGCAGGCTGGTATCCCAGACTGTTACTAATCTGCTTCTGTCACTACAGTTTATGGTTCTTTTTCTAGAATTTTATATAAATGAAATCATATCATATGATTGTATGTACTTTGTATGGATTATTTACATCACTATAATTATTTTGATATTTATCCATGCTTTTGTGTGTGTCAACAGTTTGTTCCTTTTTATTGCTGAGAATTACTCAGCTGTATGAATCTACCTTAATTTTTAAAATCTATTTATCTGTTGATGAATATTTGGGTTATTTCCAGTTTATAGGTGTTATAAATGAAGCTGTTGTGAACCGCTGGAAACAAATGCTCGGTGCCACAAAGAGGAACCAGCACTGAGACAAAGGATCTCTCAGCAAGGCAAATTTACTTCTGCAAAAGGGTGCTTCTCATAGGTCTGGTTGCCATGAGAGCACCCTGAACAAAGGAAAGCAGGGGTTTTTATTTCTAATGCAGCTTGTCCCTACCACTGTGTCCTGCCTCCATTGGCTGGACTTGGACCGCACAATTTAAGCTGAACCCGGTTGGCTAACTTGAAAAGTGCAGGAATGCAGTTACACTGATGGAAAGGTAGGAAGATCAGTTTCAGCAGGAGTAGCCATTGCAATGGGAGAGGTAATTTACAGAGTGGGTAGCAGATGTGGAATGTGGGCTGTATAGATAAGGTCTGGTAGGAAGGTTGTTTGCCAGGGCAGGGGGACACAGTGAGTAAAGAAGTCTGGCCTTGAAAGCAGGGAACAAAAAACAAGCAAACTTAAGCAAACTAAACCTTTGAAGAAGAATTTCTTACTATATTTGACATGAACATCCAGGTACAAGTTGCTATGTGAATATATGCTTTCCTTCTCTTGGTTAATGCCCATGAATAGAATAATTGGGTAATAAAATAAGTGTATATTTAAATTCTAAAGAAAGAGCTATGCTTTCCAAAGTGGTTTTGGCATCTTGTATTTCAGCCACTAGTGTATGAGAGTTTTGGTTTCTCCACATCCTTGTCAATACGTGGTCTCATTTTTTTTTTAACATTACCGATTCTGATATTGTGTAGTGGTATCTCATTATAATTTTAATTTGAATTTCTCTAATGGTTAATCATGTTGACACTTGTTTCATATGGTTATTTGCCATCTGTATACCTTCTTTGGAGAAATGTCTATTCAAATTATGGGTTATTTTCCTTTTTATCATATGTTTCAAATCTTTTGATCATTTTTGAAATGGGTTTGTTGTATTTTGAGTGTTCTGAATATAAGTCCATCATTATATATGTAATTTGCAAACATGTTATCTCGGTCTAAGGCTTGTCTTTTAATACTTTTAACAATCTTTTAAACAGCAAATGTTTTAAATGTTTAGTAAAACCAGTGTATCAATTTCTTTTTTTATAGATCATAATTTTGGTGCTGTAGCTAAGGAATAATTGCCTAACCCAAGTTCACAGATTTTCTCCTGTGATTTCTTCTAAAAGTTTCAGTTTTAGGTTTTGCCTTTAGATCTATATCTAATTTGAATTAATTTTTATGTATGTTAAGAAATATAGAAATAGTATATTTTGCACAAACATTTTTAATTATTCTTACACCATTGATTTTAAACTTTGTTAAGTAGGATCAGAATAGTCACCAATAAAAAGACAGTACCATTCTGAGTAACTCTATCCATCTTACTCTGAATTACCGTATATTCAACTCAGGTAGTAGGAACTCAAACTATTCATTTCCTTCTGTGAGCACAAGAAATTATTCCCTTTGCTCATTTTGGATAAATGGTTTTACTCTGGCTCAGGTAGTTCCCTCACTGGCAAGCGTTCATCAGTTCTCTGCAGAAGATGCAAAGAGTTAGAGGGGTGGTCCTCCACCAATCTCAGGATTCCTTCTAAACATTTTCTTTTTTGCTGTGGTGTTCTGCCCTGTGAACCCTAGCTTCCTTGCCCTTCCTAGGACTGCAATTCTATCACCTCAAGCAGAGAGACTACTGAGATTTGCCTCAGTTTCCCTCACTGCACTACAGCCTGAAAACTCACCTTAGACAATAAGAAGACTCAATCACAGAACTCACCTTGTTTCCTTCTCTCAAAGTTCACTGTACTGCACTGTCTAGTAGCCAATGTGTGAAATCAGTTGTTTCATACATTTTATTTGTATTTTTGGACATTCTGGCAGGAGGGTAAATTTAGTCTTACTCCATCTTGGCCAGAATTAGAAGTATGCTTTTAGTATTTGCAACTTTCACATATTTTAAATCTCTGCATCTCACATTCTGATTAATTTTCTTAGCTCACTCTTTCATTTCTCTACTTTTTCTTTCCTGTCTGTCCTGGTTTAGACTTATGGATTCCATTCCTGCAAAGATCTCTATGAGGAGTCTAAATATTCTCAGATTAAAGCATTTTTTAAGCAAATCATTTGTAGCGCTTGCTGCATGAATTCATGTGTTAGTGTAGTGTTGACATTAACTCTTAGTGGTTTGTAATGATAGACTCTTTTATTGTCAGTGTCTTTGATGTTTCCCATGAGAATTCTGTGTGTGCTGTATTATGAAGACATATATGTAGGTTGTTGTATTAGTCCGTTTTCATACTGCTATACAGAACTGCCCAAGACTGGGTAATTTATAAAGGAAAGAGGTTTAATTGACTCACAGTTTAGCATGACTGGGAAGGCCTCAGGAAACCTACAATCATGGCAGAAGGCGAAGGGGAAGCAAGGCACCTTCTTCACAAGGCGGCAAGAGGGAGAAGTGCCAAGCAGAGGGGGAAGAACCTCTTACAAAACTGTCAGATCTCATGAGAACTCACTCACTATCACGAGAAAGGCATGGGGGAAACTACTACCAAGATTCAATTACTTCCACCTGGTCTCTCTCGATGCGTGGGGATTATGGGGATTAGAATTTAAGGTAAGATTTGGGTGGGGACACGAAGCCTAACCATACCAGTTGTTTAATTTTTTCTTTCTTAAAGAAAAAATATTTTTAAAAATTTACCATGCATGGCGTTCAAGAATTTGTGGGGGTGTGAACTGGGGTCCTAAAACTGCACTTTTTGGACACTTGGGAGTCCTACTTCTCTTCTTGATGCATTTTTTCTCTCTGTTTATGCATATTTCCCTCTTGCATTCCAAAAGTCACTGGTCAGAAATTTTATTATTCCTGTTTCGTTGGTCCCTTCTGGCTCCGGGTTTAGTTAAAGAGTTCACTTACAGCATCTCTCCATCTGAAGGCCTGGGGCTTCAGCTCCTTCTAAGTCAGTGCTATTAAAACTCTGGCCTCAGAGGTAGTCTTTTCTTTAAAAATAAATAAAAAACCAAAAGTTGGATTATGAAGATCAGGATCAGACATTTAAGGTCACGTCTATATTCTGTGTTTAGAAGGGATCAGAAAAAGCAAATTTGGGTGTTTTTGATACTCTCCTCATTGCAGGATTTGAAATGTGCTCTTCTCATGGATGAGGTATATGGGTAAATAAAGATGTTCTTTATTTGCATCTGTGTTCATTGACCTTTGGACAATATTTTATTTAGTAATAATTAGTCTTATAAGGAGATAATACTGATTATAAAATGGACTGATTTTCATTCATGAAGTTGGCAAGTTTTCTTAGTACTAACGTGAGACATTTTCAATTTTGTTTTTTAGATCTAAATCGGAAGGTAGCACTCAGACATATGCCAGCCAGTAAGTAGATTAGAAGGTGTTTTTAAGATACATGTTGAAAATTAAGAATTCATTGATAATTCACAATTTATTTCTCAATTTTTTTGAACATCAATTGGTAAAGCAATGCACTGAAATCCAGATTGCTAATATATAGTCTAATTTAGTTTCTAATAAATTAATCCTTTCTTCATTTAATAAATGTTTACTGGAAGTCTCTTCTGAGGAAACAAGGAATAAAATAGCTGATGCTACAATGAGATAGGACATGTATAATTAGGAAAGAAAAAGAATGTATAGTGCTTAGAAGTTACCCAGCTTGTGTTATAGAGCCATGTGCTGCATAATAATGTTTTGGTAAATGATAAACCACATGTATGATGGTGGTTCCATAAGATTATAATGAAGGTGAAAAATTACTGTAGCCTAGTAATGTTGTAGTCAACACAACATCAGACAGCAATGCATTACTCACTTGTTTGTGGTGATGCTAGTGTAAGCAAACCTACTGTGCAAAGCAAAATATGTAGAATTCTCATGAGACAATCAATGCTACTTAACCTTACAAAAAAAAAAAAAAAAAAAAAGCCACCAAAGGTGGTAATGCCAACAGCCAAAGCAATCTAAAGAAATACAGGTAATTGAAAAACCTCAAAAAAATGCTTAGGATCTGCATAGAGGTTGAAAAACAAATGGAATCCATTAAACAATAAATAAAGGAGCTGAAAAAAGATTTTCTTATTTTTAAATTGTTTAGGGAAATCACTCAGAATACAACATAAACAGAATAATAACATATAAAAGACCAGTTAAGAAACAAAAGAATTCAGAGACAGAAAATTTAGAGTGGGGAAGAGTCAATATTTGAAGAAATAAGGTCTTGGACTTTTACAAAATTGAAGATGGGTAGTTAAGTGTCAGGGAATATGGAGTCCAGTTCACAGACTGTTAGAAAATAGTGAGAACTGAAGTTATAGTTAAAAAATATGAATAGGGGCTGTGTGTGTTGGGTCATGCCTGTAATCCCAGCACTTTGGGAGGCCGAGGTGTGTGGAGCACCTGAAAATTAAAAATTAAAAAAGTAGCCAGGCATGGTGGCATGAGCTTGTGATCCTGGCTACTTGGGAGGCTGAGGTGGGAGGATTGCTTTAGCTTAGGAGTTTAAGACTGCAGTGAGCCATGATCACCAGTGAGCTCCAGAAAAAAAAGAAAAAAGAAAAAAAAGAAATAAAAGAAACATAAGTAGGATGAATAGGGACAAACTGCAATTTATTGATGATTAAAAGAACAGAACGATTAGGTCAATGTAATTGGCTCTCCCAAACCCATAATTATTATAGAAATTTCTACATCTAGATTCATGACTTCTGTCACAATCTATAAAATTCCATCCATTTGTTGTTTACCCAAGCAGTACACTAATTCAGTCATGAGTCGCTTAACACAAGGATACTTTCTGAGAAATGCACTGTTAGGTGATTGTGTTATTGTGTGAACATCACAGAGTGTACTTACAAAATCCTAGATGGTATAGCCTAATACATACCTAGGTTATATCCTATAACCTTATATATATAAGCCTGTACAGCATGTTATCATATGGAATACTGTAAGCAACTGTAACTGGCTGTTTATGTATTGAAACAGAAAAGGTACTGTAAAAATATGATATAAAAGATAAAAAATGATATGTCTGTATAGGGCACTTACAATGAATGGAACTTGCAGGACTAGATGTTGCTCCGGGTGAGTCAGTGAGTGGTGAGTGAATGTGCAGGCCGAGGATGTTACTGAGTCCTACTATAAACTGTATAAACACTGTGCACTTAGGCTACATTAAATTTACTTAAAAATTTATTTCTTCAATAATAAATTAACCTTACGTTTTACTATAACTTTTCAAATTGATAAACTTTTTAATTTTATAAAACTTTTTGACTTTTGTAATAACAGCTCAAAAACAAACACACTGTACACATTTCTTTCTTTATATCTTTATCAGCTTTTTTGTCTTAATTTTTTTTTCTTTTTAAGCTTTTTTGTTAAAAACTAAGACACAAACAAACACATTAGCCTTGGCCTATGCAGGGTCAAGACAACCAATATTACTGTCTTCCATCTCCACATCTTGTCCTGTGGGAGGTCTTCAGAAGTGATGATAAACCTTGAGCTGTCATCATATTATCGGCCAGGATAACAATGCCACCTTCTGGATACGTCTTGAAGGACCTGCTTGAGGTTGTTTTACAATTAACTTTTTTTTTTTCTTTAAATAAGCAAAAGGAGTATACTCTAAAATAGTGATAAAAAAGGATAGTATAGGCCTGGCGTGGTGGCTCACTCCTGTAATCCCAGCACTTTGGGAGGCTAAGGCAGGCGGATCACCTGAGGTCAGGAGTTCAAAACTAGCCGAGTCAACATGGTGAAACTCTGTCTCTACTATAAATAAATAAATAAATAAATAAATAAATAAATAAATAAATAGGTCTCTACTATAAATAAATAAATAAATAAATAAATAAATAAATAAACAGCAAGTAGCCAGGCGTGGTGGCACATGCCTGTAATCCCAGCTACTCAGGAGTCTGAGGCAGGAGAATAGCTTGAGCCCGGGATGCGCAGGTTGCAGCGAGACGAGATCTCGACGTTGCACTCCAGCCTGGGAGACAGCGCGAGACTCCACCTCAAAAAACAAACAAACAAAATGATAGGATAGTAAACACATAAACCAAAACCAGTTATTATTATCATTATCATGTATTTTGTACTGTACATAATTGTATGTGATGTACTTTCCTATGACTGGCAGCACTGTAGGTTTAGATACTTCTGAAGTCATTCAGCCTCAGCTCCTGTTTGCCTTGTGAGCTCTCAGTTTTATCATTTTTATTGGCAACAGGAGAGTCTTTCTCTGCTGTGAGCCTCAGTTGTGTATCAAATGTTTGTGTGTGTGATTTTTTTTTTTAGCACTCCTCTATGCAAGGAATGGAAAGGGAAAATTGTTTTGCCAGCTCCCTCTGCTAGATTGCCTAGGGGGCAGTATAGGTTTTAATTTACAAAATATTGTCTTTTTTTTTTTTTTTTTTTTTTTTTTTTTTTTTAACAATGAATAAAAAACCAAAAGTTGGGGTATGAAGGTGAGAATGATTCAAAGTCAAATCTATGTTCTATGTTTAGAAATAGCTAATCTGTGTTTTTTCTGAACAAATCTATATTCTATGTTCAGCAAAAGCAAATCTGTGTTTTGTGTATACTCTCCTCATTGCAGGATTTGAAATGTGCCCTTCTTATGGATGAGGTATGGGGTAGATGAAAATGTTATTTATTTGCATCTATGTTCAGTGACCTTTGGACATCATTTTATTTATTAGTAGTTAATCTTTTAAAGAGATAATACTGATTATAAAATGGACTGATTTTCATTCATGAAGTTGGCAAGTTTTCTTAGTACTAACTTGAGACATCGCTTTCAATTTTTTTTTTTAGATCCATCTCAGAAGGCAGCACTCAGACATATGCCAGCCGGTAAGTAGGTTAGAAGATGGTTTTAAGATACATGTTGAAAATTAAGAATTTATTGATAATTCGCAATTTATTTCTAAATATTTTTGAACAATGTCAATTGGTAAAGCAATGCACTAAAATCCAGACTGCTAAGATACAGTCAAATTTAGTTTCTAATAAATTAGTCCTTTCTTTAATAAATGTTTACTGGAAGTCTCTTCTGAGGAAACAAGGAATAAAATAGCTGATTCTAAAATGAGATAGGATATATATAATTAGTACAGAAAAATAATGTATAGGGCCTAGAAGTTACCCAGCTGCTGTTACAGAGCCGTGTGCTTCATAACAATGTTTTGGTAAAGGAGAAACCACATGTATGATGGTGGTTCCATAAGATTACAATGAAGGCAAAAATTCCTATAGCCTAGTGATGTAGCCATCACAACATCAGACAGCAATGCATTACTCACTTGTTTGTGGTGATGCTGGTGTAAACAAACCTACTGTGCTTTGCAGAAGACTCCTTGTGGAGGTCATGTTTTACCCTCCTGTGTTGATAAATTTTTACATTAACTGTTGCTCTGGAATTCATGGGAAGCATGGAATGGTGTCCTTATCCTATACGTGTGAAGAATTAAGACTCCTGTTTCTCTGTGTGATTTTTCCAACCAAATTCCTAAACCAGTTTAGGTGCTCAGGGCTCCCATGCCTCCTGGTGTTGATTTTTCATCTCTACTTCTGAAGCAGTTTCCCTAATGCATCTCTGTGTCTAGTGGCCACAGCTTTTACTATCCCTGCCTTGCAGGGCTTCCAGGTTTAGAGAGGGAGGTCAGCTTCATCTTTCTAGGAAGTCTCAACTCTTGATAAGCTGATGTGGCTTATGAAACTGAATTATGTACCCCCAAGTCATTCAGATTTAGTTTGTATTTACCTTTTGCATTTTCATTTCTCTCTCTCTATCACTAGAAATGGCCTTTTTTTCTCGTAAAGGTTTAGCAAATAGTATGTGTTGTTTTTGCACTAGTTCTCTATGTGTAGGATAGGAGGGGAAATTACCATACCTCCCCATCAGCTCAGTCTTCTTGATATTAGTGTGGATTTTGAATCACAACCTATAGCAATGTATTTATCAATGGACAGACTCTGAAGGCCAGAATCAGGCATTTAAAGTGAAGCGTATATTCTGTGCTGGAAAGTGAAAAAGAGAAAAACAAATCTGTTTTCTTGTTCCTCTGCTTAGTTGAAGATTTGAAAGTTATACTTTTTATGGACATTGCATATGAATAAAAACTTTACTTGTTTGCATATGCTAATTTAGTAGTCTTTTGAAATTATTCGTCAGTGGTGATTCTTGGTATCAAATAATTAACACAGTTTATAAAATTATCTGACATTCATTGTGGAGGCACATTTTTATTTAGTATTAATGAGGAAGCATTATTTTTTCGCTTTCTTTTAGAACCAGATCAGAAAGCAGCGGTCAAGCTGATACTAGCAAGTAAGTGAATTAGGAGGCATTTTTTAAAGTAATAAGTATGTGTTAAAAATTGAGATGAACAAATTGATAATTAATAATGACTTGCTAACTATTAACTGAGTAGCCACAATTAGTAAAGTACTATACCTTAAAACAAGCTATTTGCTGATCTAGCAACTTGTGAGTATTTGTTTAAATAAGACAATATCTTCTTTCCTGCAGTTTAGTTAATATGTGTTGGGAGTTTATTTTTGGGAAACAAAGGAAAGCATTTTTGGTGAAATGTTTAAGGAGCTAATTCATAAAAAGGATCCTTTTGTATTCTTTTTCTTGGAGTACACGAAGGGGAAGTTTACCTTTTTATTTGGAGATGGTACAACTAGAAACTAATATGTATGCTGATGAATAACTGAGTGAATGCTCACATAGGTCACTTGGGAAGAATTTGTTGAAAATAAAAAAGCATCACAAAGAAACAAAAATTCCACATCTTTCATAGCCTCTCAGTATTACTAGGTTCCCCTCCATTTCCTGAAAGGTGGATGTCTTTTTATAATCATCTACTAAGTCTTTACTTCCCCACGCTCAGCAATTGTGGGTTTTGGGTCCTTCTGCAGATACAAAATGCTTTGACGTTTTTACTGCTCCCTCTCTGAGTTATAGTTTTTATATACATTTATAGGGGGCTGGTGTTATTCTTTCTCGGTTCCTCCAAGCCCACTGCTGTTCCCAAACACATCCAAATCCACAGGGCAAACTCTAAGCTGCACAAGGAGGTTGCATGATTTCTTTTGTTCCAGAAGAAATTTACCTCTTCAATAAGAATGCCTGCATTTCTCATTTCTAATCTGTCTCATTATTCTTCTTCCTTACAGTGACACTTTGGAGTCATGAGTTTGTCTTTAAAATGTTGATTTTTATTATCATGTCCATTCTTATTATTGTGACCAAGGGAGTTACCATATAGGGATCAGGCCCAGCAAGCCTCAGGGACCCTTTTCTCTTACTGTATTCTGTCATCTCAGATAATAAAGCCCATGTCTACCTTGCTCAGCATTGTATAGCTAGCATGTAGCAGAGTGCTTGGCTTGTATTATAAGTAATCAATAAATATTTGTTGAAGGAATGAATGAATGATTACCTTTGATCTTCACACAGAGGCAACTAAACAAAAACACAAACACAAAGATACATAGAAAAATCTATATACATTTGTACACATGCATGCATGCACACACATCCATATATCCATGATGATGTTATCGCTTCCTCCATTTCTTCTTTGCTCAATATGTCGTCTCTCATCCTGAAACCCTGTTAACATAATTCATCTCTCCCAGGACTCTTTACCTCCATTCCGTGAGGGGTGATAGCATCACCCATAGGAAAATGTACGTTTCAATAGACATCGTTTAATTTGGAATGTTAAACCACTGGTCTAGCCTTCTGGCTTAGCGTGCACCAGGGAATCATTTTAGAATAACTATTCATTTGAATTTTGGTAACATCATTTGACATGGTGGTTGTGCTTGAGTGATATAACATCCACCATGGTTTTCATGTCATTTATTTTTTGAGTAATCTTTAACTGGTGGGACGTCAGTGGAAAGGTTGTTGAGGCCAACGAAAGCAGAGAGGTGGAATGAATTCCAGTGAAGCAGGGTATTTCCCTGACCCCTTCAGGGGACTCATGACAGGGGTGCCTCCTTTACTCAGCCGCCTGACTCCTTATGGGAGGGAGCGCGTGGGTGAATGAGGTGGGAACTGCTGGAGTGCAGGAGTGCTGGAACCAGCCGTCCATTTCAACCCTGGCTGGGCGGGATCAAACTCCACTCACTGGAACCCACTGCGTTCCACCACTCGGGAAGGAGCATGCAGGTGAGCAGGTGCAGGAGCCACAGCCAGCACTTTTGGGCGCTGGCAGGAGCGAACTCTGCACGCCCTGCAGCGGCATCCATGCGGAGTGCCTGTGACTCCCAAAACCCCAGGGGCGTGTTACAGTGCTCTTTTAGCTTAGATGGCTTAAGCGTTAACAGCTCAGTAGGCCCTCTGCCTTTTCGAGTGAGGCGGCTGCTCTCTGCCAGTGAGGGCAAAGGGACAGTGTGACAGCCTTTTGAATCCACACTTGTGGCTCCCAAATTCTTGTTGCATGAATGAATTGAAAGATGATAAATATGAGGAATTTTTATTGAATAATGAAAGTGGCTGTCAGCGGGAAGGGGAGCTGAAAAGGGAATGGGCAGGAAATCTTCCCCTCAAGTCCAAGCACCTTGGGCTGGACTCTTCTCTGAAGTTAGGCCATCAAGCTATCCCTCTGAAGTCTAGCCGCTTCTCTCTGACATCCAGCTGTAGTCCCCGACAAGACATCCAGCTGCCTCTCCTCTCTGCCAACTGAGTCTGGGGTCTTTATAGGCCCAGAACGGGCGTGGTGGGGCCATGGGTGGTTTAGGAAAAGGCAACATTTGAGAAGGAAAACAGGGATAGAAGTTCTCTCTTTGGGCTGTGGTTTCAGGCTTTTCAGCTTGAGGGTGGCACTTTCGCCAGAGACCCACCCTTTTCTGCCTAGAATTTCTCTTCCATCTGTTCCCATCACCAGTATGGGTCACATTAGTACCACTTTAGTGTAATTATTTTAAATGTCTAAATTCTTTCAATATTTCCAGTCTTTTCCTAAGCAACCCAGAAGAATCTTTGAGAATTTATCAGCAAACTCTAAACATTACTCTCCCATATTATTGTCATTTGGCTTTTAGCTTCTTCTAGGTTTTTACCTACAGAATCCTACCCTCCATTATTATTATTATTATAATCATTTTTATATTAAATTAATACCTGCTAGGATCTTAAAACATGTTTATCAGTGGCTTTGCTCTCACTATTTATTGTTGAATCCACTGATTTTTCATTATAGGCTTGGTTTCCTTTTCTCTGAAGTACAACCCTTTTAGTTTCAGTTTAGAGATTCTGTATTATCAACATTTTGTGTTAAATGCCTGAACATGCTTTTTTTATTCCACACTCAATTTTGAATGATAGCTCAAATGGTTTCTCCTAGCTGAGAAGGACTTTTCTGCAAGTGTCTTGTAATATTCTGTTGTTGTAATGTGCCATGTACGGTCATTGATGAGACCTTAGTTGTCAGTATCATTATTTATTCCCCTCTCAATTAATGTGTTTTTTCTAGGTGGCTTCTAAGATTTCCTTTTTTTCTTGAATGTTTTGTTATTTTATGATTATATGTTCTGATAGAATTTGTTATTATTTATCCAGCTCTGGATTCAATATAGTATTTAGATATCAGGACTCAGGTCATTAAATCTAAAAAATTAATTCAGTCATTATGTCTTCAATTATTGACTTTTTCTCATTCTTTCTCCTTTCTCCGTTAGAAATGATTATGTTTAGGAGGGTCTTCTCATTTTAACCTCCATGTTTCTTTCCTTTTTTTTTTTTTTTTTTTTTTTGAGGTGGAGTCTTGCTCTATTGCCCAGGCTGGAATGCAGTGGTGTGATCTCAGCTCACGGCAACCTCCATCTCCTGGGTTCGAGAAATTCCCTGCCTCAGCCTACTGAGTAACTGGGATTACAGGCACCTGCCACCACGCCTGGCTAATTTTTATATTTTTAGTAGAGACAGGGTTTCACCATCTTGGCCAGGCTGGTCTTGAACTCCTGACCTCATGATCCACTCGCCTCGGCCTCCCAAAGTACTGTGAATACAGGCATGAGCCACCGCACCTGGCATTAACTGGGGTCTTCATGTGTTACACCTTTCTACCTCTCTATCTGACATTGTTTCACTTCCTTATATCAGTTTCCAAATCCTCCATTTTCTTAATAGCTATTTTTTTTTTTTTTTTGCCTCATTCCTGCCTTGATTTGTGTGGAGATCCTAAATATTTCTATTTTGAAGATTTTTATATTATCTGTTGATCTTGATGTGTGAATTTTTGTTTTGCAATTTAGATTGATAAGTCCACCCTCAAGGGCAGTGATTGTTCTCATGGAAATTCTGCATGCCCTGAGTTGTAGAGGCATGCATTGGGAGGATGAGAGTATTTCAGGTTTGCTTCTCCTGGGGCATGAATGTCGTAATGTTTTCCATGCTTGCTCTTTCAGATTTGCAGGTAGTGGAACTGAGCAGTTGAGGTCTGCATTGCATGGTGCAGGCCTGTGATTCCTGCATCTCTAGATAATCCTTTTCTTTTCACTTGGCTGAGAAAATTTGCTAGTTGTGTTCTGAAGTGCAGTGGTCATAGCTTTTATTATTTTCATTAAAGACTACCAGGCTTGGAAAACAGCTCCATTCCAGCTTTCTAACATGTCCAGATCCATGCCCTCAACTCCTTCCAAGCTAGTGTTAATGAAAACCACATCTTTTAGGTTATAAGTAATTCAGCTTTAGCTCTTGTTTTCCCTCTGAGCTTCTAATTTCTTTATTTTTTTTAAATGATAGAAGGAAAACACTTTGTGACTGTCAGTCTTAGTTATGTATATGTTTTTGTTTTCCTTAGCTTTTCTCTATGTATCTAATAGAAAGGATAAGTTTTCCTATTAGTCCAGTCTGCCAAACTGGTCAGAAGTAAATGTAAGTTTTAATTTACAAACTGCTGCAATTTGTGTATTAACAAATACAAAACTAACTTGGAGGCTGAAGGACAGGTTTAGACATTTACAGTTAAATTTATATTAACTTCAAAGTCATTTGAAAAACCTCTGCTATCTCGATACTCTTCTCTACTAGAGAATTTACATTTTATACCATATGTTGCATTTGGTGTTTGAGTAAAAAAGAATGCTATTTATTTGCATGCTCCAAATATTTAAATAATTAGTTTTGGTCCTGTAAAATGGCCTGCTTTTCATTCTCAAAGTAGGCACTCTCTTAGTGTTGACTTTTAGATAGTGTTTTAAATTTATTTTTGACAATATTTAATAGATATTGTTTTTAATTTATTTTTAGATCCAAATCAGAAGATAGTACCCAAGCATATACTAGCAGGTAAGATAGAAAGTGTTACTTATAAATAAGTATGTTGAAAATTCAGAATGAAAAAGTTGATAATTCACAAATAATTGCTCAACATTTTTTGAGCAGCCACAATTGATAAAGTCTACACCAAACCCAACTTATTAATATTTCCCATTCTAGAACAAGCATTAAATTCCATTAATCTTTTTTCTTCAATTGACTAAATTTTTATTGATTACCTACTCTTGTGGTACATAAGAAATAAGCTAGTGGAATTTAATAAGAGAATTTATAATTACTTTGTGAAACTAAATCATAAGCTGAACATTTTGCATCCTTTATTCTGGGATAAACAAAGGGGAAATAGTACTTTTTCAGGTTGCATTTATACCCACAAAAACTCAATGTGAACAACTGAGTGAATGATTATTTCCACTTAGGAAGAGTTTAGGAGACAGTATTACAAGCACACTAAAATTCTACATTTCCCACAGACCCTCAATGTGCCACACATGTATTAACAAGGGTTCTCTGAACTTGTTTAGAGAAGCTTTTCATTTCCTACACCCCACAGTTGTGGCTTTGTGATCCTTCTGAAGTTATCAAATATTTACTGCTATGTTTGTCATGGTTTCTCCATTGTAGAGTTTTCATTTTCTTGTATTGCCTAGTATTTTTCCTTATAGTGACCTCTTTGAGATACATTCAACCCACTGCTATTCCAAAATATCCTTTATACACATAGATTAAATTTTCTAGGCTACACCACAACATTATTTAGTTTATATTTTCCCCAATGAAGGCACGCCATCCATTAGGAAAGCTACAGTATTTCTGTCTCCTTTATCCTTTCTGTTGTTCTTGGATGTCTCCTAGCATAAGCACCCTTTTACAGACATCAATTACTTTCTCTAAGTTATGTTTGGTCTCCATTCTCTGTCACTGTCTCCAAGGGAGTTGTAATAGAGTGCTCAAACACTGCAATTCTCCCAATCTTCTGCTCACCTGGAAGCATTGCTCTCCTTTTAGGCTCTGAAATCACTTGATGGTCATGTCCATGTTTATTTTCCTTACCTATTTATAGGTAGCATCTTGCAGGGTTAATGCTCAACAAATACTTGCTTAACAAATGAGTGGTTACTCTTGAAGTTCACATGTGCACATATAATTCTTAGTGGTGTTACTACTCTAATTGTCCCCTTACATAATCTCTCCTCATAAAATATGCCATAATCATATCATAATCATCCTCTTTAAAAGTAATCAATTCAACTAGATTGAGGGATAGACAAGGGCATCATCTATAGGATAATATACACTGGATTTGGGGAGTATAATTTGGAATGTTAACCCATTACTGTAACTTTGTGTTTAGCATACCCAGAAAGGTATTCTGTGATTATTCTTTCATTTAAACTTAGTAGGCTAAGCAGACATAATTGCTGTCCTTTACTGTTGTAGCATTCACCGTATTTTCTTGTATTTCTGTTCCTTTTACATTTATATTTTTAGTACTTTTGTTGCCATTGGGAAGCCAGTGGGAGATGTTGGTAGAGCCAATTCCTTGGCTAAATACAGTGAAACAATATATACATTTTTTAAAGCCAGAAATTTAATGGGTGTATATGTCAGTAGACTCATACGTCTATAAATAGAAATCTTTTTATTGGTTTGGGAGATAACTAATTATATTAAATAAGAATGTTTCATGGTCAGAGTTGTAGGAAAAATCAACACTAAGTTTTGAAGATATCAAAGAGCAAAAGTAGGGAAAGGACGGGAGAAGTGAAATTATACATTATCACTGAAGACTCTCAATCATATTGTATTGTCTTCTCTGTGAATTAATCTTGATTAATTTGTCTTCAGTTCATTATTTTTCTCTCCCATTCTTTTAGTTGGGGGATTAGAAATAAGGAATCTGTGGATATAAAAATGGAAAAGACTGCATGTGGTGGCTCACATGACAAAATGCTATAATCCCAGCATTTTGGGAAGCCAAGGTGGGAGGATTGGAGTTCCTCCAATTAGAAGGTCAGGAATTCAAGACCAGCCTGGGCAGCAAACTGAAATCCCATTTCTGCAAAGAAATAGAAAAAATTGGCTAGGCATGTTGGTGCATGCTTGTAGCCTTAGATATTTGGGAGGTTGAGGCAGGAGGACATTTGAGTCCCCAGGAGGTTGAGGCTGCGGTGAGCCACAATCATATTCCTGCCCTCTAACCTGGGTGACAAAGTGAAACTCTATCTCTAAAAAAAGAAAATGGAAAAGAGGTAGAAATTTGGCAAATACTTCTTTTTTAGTACAACTTTGAAGGGAAAGAGGAAAAAATTGCCATAACAAATAAATACAACATAACTTTGACAGGTTGTATTATAACAACCTAAAAATGTTGTTTCCTTATTTACTTAGATCCAAGTCACAGGAAAGTACCCAAACACAAAGCAGTAGGTAAGTATATTAGAAAGTATTTCTTAAAAATGAATACATGTATGAAATAAAATTCAGAATACACAATTAATTCCTAAGTATAGATTGGGTAGATGAATTGGTTAAAGTACTGCACCAATAAATAATCTATCTTTCTTTTATTCTTTTTTTTTTTTGTTTTTGACAGAGTCTTGCTCTGTTGACCAGGCTGGAGTGCAATGGTGCGATCTCAGCTCACTGCAACCTCTGCCTCCCGTGTTCAAGTGATTCTTCTGCCTCAGCCTCCTGAGTAGCTGGGATTACAGGCTCGTGCCACCATGCCCACCTAATTTTTGTATTTTTAGTGGAGACGGGGTTTTGCCATGTTGGCCAGGCTGGTCTTGAACTCCTAACCTCAGGTGATCTGCCCCTACTCAGCCTCCCAAAGTGCTTGGATTACAGGCGTGAGCCATCATGTCCAGCCTAAATGACCTATGTTCAAATGACCAATCTTTACTAATCTTGTTACTAATGAGTATTTAAATAACTTAGTTTTTTTTTGTTTTCAGTTTAGTAAAGTTCTCTTAAGTTTATTGAGAACTTGCTCTTGTTGATAGACTAGAATTAAAGAGTTGTACCTAATAAGATGGAAGATCTGTAAATTTGTTTATAAAACAAATCTGTAATTGGGACCATTTTATTCATTAGGCAGCATAGGCTACACTGCTTCAGGTCTATGAACTTCCAAAGACCAAAAGGCCAAAATACTGTTACACACACATACACGCACGCACACACACACACACAATAATTGGCTGCAAGGTATGCAAAAAGGAAAATTAATGTGAATTTAAATGTCTAAAATATGTAAATACATTAACCTAATTGTTAAATTCATAAACATTTCATTTTATATGAAATAGTTTTAATTTTTTCATTTGCAAGTACTTCTGATTAAATATGATGGTTTCTCAGAAATCAAAGAAAAGCACAAAGTAAATAAGTGGCTCGTGGTCAAATAATTTCACAGGCAAAATTGTAAACATCCTTTCAATAATTCTTTTTTTGGTGCCACATGAATTTTCCACTTGGCAGTACCCCAGCTGCTTGTACAGTGGGAGGGAGTTTGCTGTCAGTACTTTGAGCACGTGTTTTTTGTTCTCTTCTACAGTAACTAGTGGTTCCTTCAGAAGGCAACGGATAACATCGAGAGTCTCGCTAAGAAATGAAAATTCTGTCGTTCCTTCCGTGGTCACAGCTGAAAGAAACAATAAATTGAGTGTGGATCAATTTGCATGCCAGTGTGTTCATTTTTTTTTCTTCCCTTTCCTTTACCCCCGGCGACCGCAGTTTTGCAGCTGCAGGGCCCTTAATTGAAAACAGTCCTCCAAACTCATCTCAGCTGTCCCCATCCCCACCTGACTCCGCACGAGCTCTTCCCCATTGTCTTCTCTGCAGCTCTTCCACGACTCCTGCCCCTGTGCCCCCCGCCCCATGCCACCCCCTTTGTTGTACTGCCTGGGGCCCCAGAATCTGGGCAGTGTACCATGTTCCTCCTTCTGGTCCTTCTCATGGGATTTGGCTGACTGCACACAGGTCCAATATATCCAGATAGCTGCCCTCCTCATCCTCCCCATGACCCCGGTCTGGGCTTCTGAGGGAGGACTGTTTGTTTCAGGGATTGTAATTTCCCATCCAGGCCTTTCCCTCTACCCCTGCCTGCCCACCTTTCTCTTGTCCCTTGGCCAAGTGACCCACAAGGTCAAGCCCAGAAGACAGAGAGGCAGCTTCTAAAGGACCCTTAGGCATAGGTCTTAAAGGCAAATATGATTCCCTTATTAGAGTTTGGTATGAGGCTTGAAAAAATGATTAGAGAAAGGTTCTCTCATTTTCCATTTTCTGAAATAATCTGAAAAAATTGTTTAGATTTTCAGTTCAATGTTTGTCAAAATTCACCAGTGAAGCTCTCTGGGACTGGAGATTTTTTTTTTTTTTTTTTGGCGAGGGCAAGATTTTAAATTACAGATTCAATTTATTTAATAGAAAACTATTCAAATTTTCCATTTATTGTTGGGATACTTTTTTTCAGACACTGTATTTTTTTAAAAAAAGTTTATCCATTTTATTTAATGATTAGACTTGTGGCCTAATGTTGTTTATAATATTCTTTTTTATGTCTGTAGGATCTATAGTTATGTCCCCTCTTTCATTCCTTAAAATAGTAAGGTTTTTTTTCCTCTCATCAGTCTTGTGAAGAGTTTATCTACTTAATTAATTTAAGAATCTCTCCAGAACTGCTCTTGACTTTGTTATTTTTCCCTATTACATCTCTGTTTTCTATTTCATTGATTACACATTTTATTAATTTGCTTTCTTTTACCTTCTTCAGGTGAAAGTTTAGATCATTGATTTTAAATCTTTTCTAATGCATTTAAAAGTATAAGTTTGTCCTATGTACATTTTTAGCTGCATTCCACATATTTTATGTTGTGTCTTCATTATATTTCAGGTCAAAATATTTTCAAATTTTTATTTTGATTTCTATTTTGAGTTATAGGTTATGTAGAAGCCTGTTTAAATCCAAATATTGGTGTTTTCTAGCTCATTTTTTCCTTATTGATTTCTCAATGGTGACTAGAGAACATACTTATGTAATCTCAATTTTTGAAATTATTTTCTTGAGTTGGTTAAGCCTATGATATACTTTGTTGAATGTTCTGTGTGTACTAAATATATACATGTGTATTTTGCAGTTACTGAGCATATAGATGTTAATTAAGTCATTTGTTGATAGTGTTCTTGAACTCTTGTTTTTTCCTCTTGTTCTATCAATTCTTGAGAGAGACGTGTTGAAATTGCCAACTGTTGTGTTTTATTATTGTTGTTATGTTACTTGTTTTAGACATGTTAATTGCGTTTCATGTATTTTGGAGTTATATTTTAGTGCATGCATCTTTAGGACTGTTATGTTTTCCTAATGAATTGGTTCTTTATCATTATGTGATTCACGTTGTTGTCTCTAGTAATACTCTTAATTTTGAATTCTGATTTTGTGATAGTAATATTGCCATGCAGCTTTTTTTTTTATTGGCAGCTTTTTAAGTTAGTCTTTTCACAGAGTATCTTTTTTCATTCTTTTACTTCTATTGCATATTTCCTTATATTTAAGGTGTATCTGATGTACAGAGTATGCAGTTGGTTCTTGTATTTTAAAAAAAATCCAGTCTGACAATGTTTTAAAATTGGAATGCTTAAAAGCATTCATATCTGTTTATTTTTGTTTATAATTGACACATAATTGTACATATTTATGGCATAAGTGTGATGTTTCAATATGTATGTATATTGCATAAAAAATAAAATGAGTGTATTTAGTGTATTTATCTCCTCATATATTTATCATCTCTTTACAGTAAGAACATTCAGAATCCTCTCATCTAGCTGTTTGGAAATACAATTTGTCCACCATATCTACAGGTTCCACATCCATGGGTTTCCAGGTTTCTATGTTTTGCCATAAATGACAGATTTCTTTTTTATGGCTGAGTAGTATTCCATTATGTATGTATATGACATTTTCTCTATCCTTGCATCAATTGATAAACACTAAGGTTTACTCTATATCTTGGCTATCTTGAATAGTGTTTCCATCACAGAGGAGTGCAGGTGTCTCTTCTTCATTGACTCATTAGTTGTTCAGGAGCATTTTGATTAATTTGCATATATTTGTAAAGTTTCCTAGTTTTACACCATCATGGTCAGAAAACATTACTTGACATGATTTCAGTTGTTAATTTGTTAAGACTTGTTTTGTGGCCTAATATATTATCTAACTTGGAGAATGTTTTATGTGCTGATAAGAATGTGTATTCTGCAGCTATTGGAGGGAATGTTCTGTGAATGTCTGTGGGGTCCAGAGTTGGTATGTTGGTCTAGAGTTACAGTTTAAATTCAATGTTTCTTTGTTGACTTTCTGTTTGGATGATCTGTCTTTTGACATAAGTAGGATTTCAAAATCCTTTACTATTAAGGTATTGCAGTCAATTTCTCCCCTTAAATTAATTAATATTTGCTTTATATAGTTTGGTGCTCCAATTGTATGTGCTTATATATTTGTGATTGTATATCCTTTTGCTGAATTGACCTCTTTATTATGTAATGACCTTCTGTGTGTCCTTTTTTATGGTTTTAAATTCCAGTTCTATTTTATCTAAGTATAGCTACTCCTTCTCTCTTTTGGTTTCCATTTGCATGGAATATCTTTCTCCATCCCTTCACTTTCAGTTGTTTGTGTCCTTACCAGTGAAGTGAGTCTCTTGCAGGCAGCATATAGTTGCATCTTCTTTTTTAATCTATTCAGCCATTCTGTGTCTTTAATTGGAGAATGTAATCCATTTACGTTCAAGATAAGGTCCTACTACTGCCATTTTGTCAATTTTTTCAAATGGTTTTATAGTTCCTTCCTTCCTTGCTCTCTTACAGTCCTCCTTTGTGATTGAATGATTTTCTCTAAGAGGACATTTTGATTTCATGCTTTTTATTTTTTTGTGTATTTACTTTGTGGTTACCAGGAGGCTGAACAAAAAATCTTAGCGATATAATAAGTTATTTCAAGTTGAAAACAATTTAACTTTGATCTAAATAAAACAAAGACTGTATATTTTAACTCCACCCCCCTTACATTACATTCTGAATTTCTGATGTCACAGTTTACATCTTTTTATATTGCATGTCCCTTAACAAATTATTATAATTTTTTTATAGTTTTGACTTTTAACTTTTATACTAAATGTATAAGTGATTTACAGTCCATCATTACAGTATTAGAGTATTCTGAACTTGACTGTGTACTTATTTTACCAGTGAGTGTTATACTTTCATATGTTTTTGTGTTACTATTAGTGTCCTTTTCTTTTGACTTGAAGAACTCCCTAGGTGTTTCTTGTAAGGCATTATCTAGTGATGATACATACCTTCAGCTTTTTTTTTTTGTTTGGGAAAATTTTTCACCTTCATTTCTGAAGAAAAGCTTTGCAGTATAAAGCATTAATTGACATTTTGTTTTTTTCTTCAGCACTTTGAATATATCATTCAATTCTCTCCTGGCTCGTTTCTGCTGAGAAATCTGCAGATGGTCGTATTGGAACTTCTTTGTATTTAATCTGTTTTTTATCACTTGATGTTCTAGAATTTTTATTCACCTTTGATTTTTGATAGCTTAACTATTATATGTCTTGATAAATTCCTCTTTGGGTTGAATTTGATTGAGATGTCTGTGCTTCTTGCATCTGGGTATTGGTATTTTCTCTAGATTAGGGAAGTTTTCAGCCATTTTTCTTTGTATATGCATTCTGGCCCCTTTTCTCTTTATTCTCTTTCTGAAACTCCTATTGTGCAAAAGCTTGGTCCCATATGTCCATATACTTTCTTTATTCTTTTTGATCATTTGAATGGATAATTTCAAAGGCTCTGTCTTCCATCTCACTGATTCTTTCTTCTACTTGATCAATTCTGCTATTAAAGATTTGTTTTAAATTTTTCAACTCAGTCCTATTCTCTACCTCTAGGATTTCTTTTTGTTGTTGTTGTTTTTATTTGTCAATCTTGCTTTTACCATGTTATTGTTTTCCAAATTTCATTTAATTTTTCTCTATATATATTCTTGTAGTTCACCAAACTTCTTTATGAGTGTTACTATGAATTGGCATTCATTTCATAGCTGTTCATATTTTTGGGGTTTGTCATTGGAGCTTTGTTAGTTTCTTTTAAAGGTGTTATGATTCCGTGATTTTTTGTACTTCTCTTATCCTTACATTGTTTTCTGTACCTTTGAGGAGAGATTCATGTCTTCTGGTCTTACATGTGTTCTTTGCCAGGCATAGAGCTCCACTTACTACCTAGTCTGTGATTCTGAAAGGGCTAGCCGGTTGTGACACCAGAGAGGTAAGACTTGTGGGTTTTCAAGTTGCCTGGGCTGCTGCTGTTGCTCCAATATCAGAGGTGGCTACTATCTGAGCTCCAGTGACTGGTGAGACCACTGACTGGGCTCTGCTATTAGGCAGAGCTGCTGGCCAAGTACTCTAATGGCTTCTGATCAGGCTGGTCACAAGATTTATTCCCTGGCTGGGCAATTTTGCTATTTGCTATCTGAATTTGGACAGGGCTTCAGGTGTGTTCTGAGGTTAGGTGGTGTTGCTACTCTGGAGAGGAAGGATCTGAGGCTATGGTCCCTAACTATGTGTGATTGGGGATATGCTTCCTTCTTTGGCTGGAGCTGTGGGATGAACCTTTAGCTGAGTTGAGTGGCTGTTTGACCTCAAGCAGGACTAGCTCCTACATTTCTCCAAATACATACATACAGGTGGGAGTCTCCCTGCTTGGGTGGTGTCTTTGGGAGAACTTTTTGACTTTGCGGAGCCACTGCTTGCCTGCTTCCCTTCCTGGGTCAAGCTGTTATAGCCTCTATGCTTCTCTGAGAACCATGGAGGTGGAAATATCCCTGCTGAGGCAGGGTCTTTGGGTGGGTTTTTTGGTTGTGTGAAGCCACTGCTTACTTTCCTGGTTAAAGCCAGTGTAGCTCTCTTGCTAGCCTGAGGTCCTTGGAGGTGGGAGTTTTCCTGCCTTGGTGGGGTTATTGGGCAAGCTGTTTGGCTGTGTGGAGCCACTGCTTACTTTCCTGGTTAAAGCCAGTGTAGCTCTCTTGCTAGCCTGAGGTCCTTGGAGGTGGGAGTTTTCCTGCCTTGGTGGGGTTATTGGGCAAGCTGTTTGGCTGTGTGGAGCCACTGCTTACCTTCCTAGGTTAAAGTGGTATAACCTCTATTTCTCTGAGATCTGCAAAAGCGTGAGTCTGTTGGATTGGGTGGGATAATTGCTCTTGCTTTTTGGCTGTGTGTAGCTACTGTCTGCCTTCCTTGGCCAAGCGAGTGTGGTCTTTTTGTTTCTGAGATCCATGGCAGTGGCAATCTGTCTGCCTTTGTGGGGTTACTGGGAT